GGGGGGAAGGTGGTTTTTCTAAGATTTGGATTTATTTCTCATTATCCTACTCTGATTTGATAGGTGATAGATTAAACTAATTTTCCCAAGTCAAGTCTGTTTTGCTCGCAACAGTAATTGCTGAGTGCTCTCTCCCTGTCCTTATCTCGACCCACGAATCTTTCGTTATATTTTCTCCTCCCTGCCCAGCTGAGGAGTGGCTTTGGTGGGCACCTGGTGTCCAGCCAGGGTCAACCTGCCACACCAGTCACCAGAACACTGGGGACACAGACCCTCTCCAAGTGACCCCCACATCTAACTCCCACCTATAGTTTGAGCCACAGTAAATTACCCAGTCCTAATACAAGGATTTCAGTCATGGAGGAATCACCTATTCCATAAGCAAGCTCTTCTACTAACTGGTAACCTCCACCATTCAAATTGTGCATATTATTTCCCATTTATGTCATGTCTGGATTCAGCTTTCAAACACTGGCTCTCACTAAACCTCTAATTACTGCATTAACTACTGCTCAGCTCAGTCTGTATGTTCTCTACAGAATCCTAGGGCCATTAACAAAATTAAACACAAATACACATGCCTTCCTGATAGGGAAATAGCTTCATCTAATCGAAAGCAGAACTTGAAATGGTAACGATGAATGTGATATGGATCAAATTCAAAAGCTAGAAGAACCATATCCCAGATCTCGTGTTTTACGTAAGTACAAAACCCCTTTCTACAGAGCAGAATGGCAGGGTCTACACTCCATGACTTTATCTATTCTGTTTCCTCTAAACCAAGTAAGGCTGGGCTGTAACTTGCATCCAAAAAATTTGTCCTCAGTTGATGGCAGTTGTGTCTTCCAGTAGCTCCTGGTAAGTCTGTAGCGCCTTGTAGAAAACTGCATGAGCATTGGTATAATGGTCAAGGTCATCCATCTCATTGTGGGGAGAAAAAATATGGAAGAAGTAAAAATTCTGCCCCCCTTCCCCCGAATCTTTCACACTGGAATCAAAACTCCCTGAAAGCCAACCCCAGAGATCTAAAAAATGTTTCAGTCTTGAGGGTGGCTTCTTTCAGGACATTTTCAGGAGCAACTCTCAAGCAAGACAATAGAAATATCTGTTGCTCTCCACAGTGTCATATTAGCAGGAAGCAGCAATGGTAGTAAGTCCTCACATACCCAAGGCACAGTAATCCAAACCCTGTGGCAGGTTCTTGAAACCCTTGCCTAATACATTGTTCAAAGCTCACCTCTACTACTGGTTGTCCCAAAAAACATGCTGTTATTTGTTTGCCAAGGTCAATGTGTTTAGACCTTCTGGTAAACAAAATAGCACCAATGCTTGTTCTCTGTCCCTAGCACAGCCTGGCCTTGTCAATACTATTAAACTCTCTTAGTCTCCAAAACAGGTTGGAAACACCCAAACTGCCAACTGGGGATTGTCTGTGTCCTATGACAGCTCCTGCATTACTGGCCTGGGAGAGCCGGTTGTCCCAGAGCCCACACCAAGGATTTAATTGTACCCCATATGATCCTACGTCAACAAAGGCTTGTCTCCCGGGCTGGAGTTGGGGAAGCACCCACCAATTCATGCAACTCAGAGATTGCTTTTTCACGGTGGACAGAGTGGGTTAAGGCAATGTGTCCCGTCCCGTCCCCCCCCCAGCTTCTCTTTAGCACTGTCTGTTATAGAATCATAGAATCATAGAATGTTTTGGGTTGGAAGGGACGCCTAGAGGTCATCTAGTCCAACCCCCAATGGACCGAAAGACTGCAGAAGGATCCTTCTTTCACCTTGTAGCCACATCTGCCCCATCACAAGCTCACTAATGGTCTTTCTTCTGTCTGTCTGTACAAAGGCTAGAAAGCCCAAAGAATCCTTGGGAAGTTTGATCAAGAGGCATGAGTGCAGGTAAAATGTGTCTCTGCATAAGGTATGCAAGTTAATCTTCAGTCGGTGCAATCGGGATAATTACAATCAATCAGAGCGTGTACGTCATAAATAAGTTTGGTTATGCTATAATCGCTAGGCAGAATGTTTCAGGGAAGAGCAGCACTCCCTACAGTGGGCTTTGTGCTGGCACCCACTGGGATGTCCTATTGCATTCTGCATTTGTCACCTCCCCCTGTTCCACACTTCCCAGACAAAGCTAGCCCCATCCACAAAGCTCTCAGAAAGCTGAGAGGGAGGCCCCAGCCACGCTGGATCCACCTCCCAGAAACAAAGATAAAACCCCCACATTAATCTAGCTCCCTCTACCGCCGGGTGTAAGGGACTAGAAACTTGTCTCAACATTGGTGGCAGGCAGGCTTAACAACCAGGGCTTGATCGCCGTGGCAACTGAGTGGGGCAGTTTCAGCCCATTGAGTCCCACCCCACAGGAATGTGTGGCCTGTTATCTTGGAGTACACGTCCTCTGTGCATGTGCCTGGGCCCAGAGTCAACTGACAATGGGGAGGGGGCTCTGGACCCTCTAGAACTTTCGAGCATACTCTAATGATGGTACTGGGCATGTGCCCCACTGCCGAGTGGGAGGCGTGGGTATGCAAAAGAGTCATTGACTATGCAAGAAGACAACCCTATGAAAGGGGAACCCGCGGAGCCCAGGAGAAGCGCCACGGGGGAGCGCCCAGGAACATCTACCCTGCAGCAGATTCGAAGATACATCAGGCGCATCAGACCGCACCAGCCGCATGGACCGCATGGATCGCTCAGGCCGCACGGACAGCACATAGATCGTAACACCACTGTGCCGTTTGTTTCTCCCCCTCTTTTTCCCTTTCTTGCTTTTCCTCTCTTTCTCTGCTTTTCTCTCGCGCATTTACTGTTGGCCGAATAAAGTGACTTGGCACTTGACTCCGTTTTGAGTCTTAATTCTGTTTCCGAGAATGTAAAAGGAACCTAGTCACGATAGAATATTGGAGTTAATCAGAAGTTAAGCCCAGCCGCCCCCAACCTCCCAGAATTATCTGAGGTCGGTTGGAAAGCAAGGGGGTTTAACCTCTGCCAAATTGTTCAACCCAATAGTGGATCGTGACAACGGGTGATAACAGCTTTGAAGTTTGGCCATGAGCCCACCACCACTTTCTTTCCTGAAGGGGTTCCCTCAGCTGATGTTCATCACAGCTCCATAAACCTGCAGGGTGAAAAGCCAAAAGACGACAGACAGTTTGAGACATGCTAACATGGCACCTGTGTTATAAACCAGAAATTGAACCAGTGACATGGAGCTGAAAGGACACGTTTAGATTTTCATACACACACACTCATCACATAGGTTGATGCCTACACACTTATCAGTAAGGCATATTACCATGAACATAAAATATTGCCTAATTATGCCAACCCTAATTACTTTGGAGAGGAGGTGGACCAGTTTGATTCTGTCTTTCCACCTGATTGCTTACCTGCTTTCAGTCTTGTAGCTCATCCTTCGAAAGTGCAATGATAAACTTGAAGTTAGGGGACAATAAAATGCATTCACGTTGTGGCTGCTTCTGCATGGGGAATGACGAGGGTCCTTGTCCAGAATCTTAAAGCTATAATTTTATTGATCCAAATTGTTCTAAACTGGTATATGGTTCCTAAAAGCTTTACTCTTTCCTTCTTTTGGGGAGCATAGAAATAAAAGCCAGAGCCACACCTTCAGAGGAGAAGGGACTCCTCTGGAAGCATAGCTGTTAAAGCGTCAAAAGGCTTGTTCAAGACTATAGTCTTTAGCAAGAACCTTTAATTTTTTCATTAAGACTTTTAATGTCTTTCCATTCATACCAGTGAATGATCTGCTTTGCGCATACTTATAATTAACCTTGTTTTTTCTCAGTGGTAGTGAAACAAGTAGTCAATTCTCATTCTCAGTGCCAAGCTTCATACCACAACGGGATTAAGAGCCTGAGGTAAACTGAGACACGTTGTGCCAAAGAACAAACCAACCCAGCTAAGCACCCCCAGACATCACTTTGAGGTGGCAGCCCTGTTCAGCCTTTGCCTGATTTTTGCCCTAGACAGTCCAGTTTGATGACGCTAACCCATATTGCCCTTTTGATTTGGACCCGATAACCTACAGCACGAGGCAGAAGAGTCGATAGAGAAGGAACTCTGAAGAATTACAGGAGAGCACGCGCAAAAGGATGCTCTATTCGAGTGTGAGGAAGAGTTGCAATGGGATATGGATTGATATTCTTGCTCTATCTTAAGAAATCTGTAGCTTTTACCTTACCTGCTTGAAGCCAAGGTTTGTTAAGTTGAAAAGTTTCAGATGTTCCCAAGTCAAATCACACGAGTTCACAGCTCCACGCGTGCTGATCAAGTGAACCTTGTCAGGGGGAAAAAAAAAAAAACCAACCACAATTAAAATAATTACACCTTGCTTCTGTAACTAGCCCCTCCACTGCTAGTGACAGCTTTGCACAGCGTTTACAAGGCCTCTGGACTGAGGCTCATCAGGGGCTCTTTGAACTTTTTACTTAACTGTGTAATTTAGCATTTCCCCTAATTGACCAGGAGTCTATGAATAATTATTTTATTTTTGTTATCTTTGCATTGTACAACCAGTTTTATACAGACAGCAGTAACAAGCAGTTCTATGTCAAATGGAACATTTATGACTAATGTAATGATGTAGTATAAAGAAATACAGGCTGAGTATGATAGCAGAAGCCTTGAGAAACGGAGATAGGGGATGTGGTGCAGAGAAGTACAGGTATGGGGTGAAACGATTAAAAAGGGTGTTATGATTAAAACTACATCAACAACGTATCACCACCTTGTCCAAACCATTCAACTGTCTCTGATGGACCTATGCTTCAAACTAGCTATTCCCTCATTCCTACGTTGTAAAAAGCAGTGAGTAGCCAATTCCTGTACAATGCTTTCACTAAATGCTTTAAATCTTTATTATTCCCTTCTTCAGACACTGCTATTTCAGCTTTCCTTGTATGTAAGATATATCCCTGACTCTTACTGCCCTTCTCCACACTTTCACCCTTTTTGGTTTTTTTTTTTTTTTTAAAAAAAAAAAGGTATCTATGTGGTCCATGAAGTTCAAAACCCAGATAGTAAATTGCCTGCAAGTACATCACCCTTAACAAAAGCAAAGGAGTGTATCTTTACTTAACAAAAATTAAGATAGCTGGCATGCAGGAGAATCCTTAACCCATAAACTGAATTAAATTAGTTTGGGGTAGTGGTGATCAAAAATGTGAGAACTATTTCTAAGTATTTATATACTTTTTCATATGACTCGGTACAAAGCAAGCAAGTAGTTAGTCTGGTTTTCCTGATCCTAGGTGTAGGAACTAAAGAGGCTTTTAATCTCTTATAGGAGAACAGAGATAATTAGCTCATGTCTCATTAGGAGTACCAGCAGCTTGTAATTCAGAACAAGTGTTTGTGTGATAAAACAATGTAAAGAGCGCTGCAACTGTCTAGCTGTTAATTTGACAGCAGAAAGCACTTTGTGACAACTGAATCTTTAAAGGGAGAAGTTCTATCATGGAAAAAAATAGAGGAGAGATGAAAGTGCTTAGACTTCTGACTTAGTTTTCTTCCTCTAAAGCTGAAGAGGAGTTAATGAAATATGAGTACACAACTCTGAGATTAGAGCTTTGCTCTGTAATGCTCGTATCTGCTTTCCCCAGCCATCTGGATAAAAAAAAACCCAAGTCATTTACACCAAGTTTAAGTGGTGAATATGAAAATGTTAAAAAAACCCACCTGTACTTGTGATAAAAATTATTCCATTTCCTGGCATGGAGGTTTTTTATTGAAAAATGTTAAGAAAGTTGAACAGGGGATTTGTAACTGAGCATTAGACAATCATATTTTCACTACATGTTTCAGGTTGAAAGAGGATTGAACTCCAAAACAGAAGTTAGTTTGGTAAGATACTGCCTTCACCCATTTACAGATGTGATATGAAAGTTCAAATATAATGGAATACCCAGGATCCCTGTCTTTCCCTTCTCTTCAGACAGTATATATCCTCATTAGAAGTCATCACAGGTCGAAAAAAGCCGCCAAGAAAATGTGACTGATCACTTAAATCACTGTAGTTCCAGCATGCATCTACAGATTTATATACCAATATTCTTAGAAAATGTTTGAACAGAAACTCAGCAGTCACAACAGCAAAGCCATTAGGAAGAAACCACAGTTTCCACAATCAGCATCCTGCTGCTCTACATTAACAGAGTGCTGGCCTAGGTTATCTTCTTCAAAGGAGACTCCGTGTATTTCGGTTTCTCAAAGGAAGTCCACCTTCTCATAGGCCTTTTCAATGAGGGTTAACATGTTGTTCAAGTCAGCTGACTGCTGAATAGTGTTCATGTCATTTAAGAGACCTTTCTTATTTTTTATCTTCAAAATTTCTTCCTAAAGAAGGAAAGAAAGAATAATAGACTACAAATAAAAAACAGCTTTCATCGAGTCCAACAGAAACTTCACTTTCGTGCAGCCAAGCTGTACCTAAATACAGCTAAGATATAAGAGATGCAAAGACACAGAATAAGATTGTCTTCCTCCCATCAGTTAGAGAGATTTCAGAAATGATTATAAGTTCCCTACAACCATAGCATTCCTAGGAAGACCTGTGATCCTTTAAATGGCAAGTTTTCTAGGGTTTTATTTTTAAAAAATAAGCATATAGTTCTCAATGAAAAGAAAAAAAAGAAAAAAACAAAAGAGAAAACTCACAGACATTTCAGAATTTTATTAATTGCCTCCTCTGGCAGAGGGTAAGTGATAAAAGCACATTGTGTTGCCTTTCTTCTCATAGCTAAGGTGTCTCTGAAAATATATACCATGCTCACCTGCAAAGTGGGTGCTTGTAAACTCCGCTTGGGAAGTTCTGGAAGGTGGAGTACTCCACTCTCATTTTCCTGGAATACCTAGAAGAGGGAAAAAAAAAAAAAAAAAAAGAACCAAACCCCAAACATCAGGCACACAAGTAGGAAGATAAACTTGCTGTCATTATCCAACTTCTGAAAACTAAACCTCTTAATTTTGCAACTGCAGTTGGAAAGATTGAAAAGACACATTCCCAAAGGCAAATAAAGCCTTCCTCATATGACAGTCTCTGCAGAAACAGCTTGGGTGCGATAGCTTAGAGGAATACAGCAGCATCCGTTGGAAATACCTTCTTGGCCTTTTTTTCATCTCCCTCTAACTGGCTCTTGAGCACCTGGATTTTGTACTGCAGTTGCTGTGTAGTTTCTTCAATGTGTTCTGCTGATCGCTTGGCTTCATTTATTTCTTCCTACGACAAAAGAGGCACAAAAGCAGAACAAAATTTCCTTCAGGGATGGTGAGCCTTTTGCATATAAGATCCTGATAATCAGCATCAGCTGAGACACTGAAAAATCATTCAAAAAGAAGCATTGCTTTGTCATGAAGGTGGGTGACAATGATGAACAGTGGCCAACTCCACAACAGCACATGCATATCAAGCAGTCCATCTACTAAAAAGTTACAACACACTGAACAGCAGCAGATGGGTAAGATATTTTCTTCCCTTCCTTGCCTTTCATACCTGCAGTTGTACCAAAGACTCTTCATTTGCCTCAAGCATTTGTTTCTCTGCCATTTGAAGGCTCAGGACATTCTTCAGGTTGCCCAGCTTCCCTTGAGGCACCTTTAAAGCCTTGAAACGTCTCAGCACCCTTTGTTATAGAAAAAGGAAAGCATGACTTGTTTGGAGTTCTTTGCAAAACAAAAAAAAAAAAAAAAAAAAAAAATACCTGATGACTAATGACTTCTCTGGGGAAAAAAAAACCAAACTAAACGTGACCTTGCAAAACAAAAAAAAAAAAAAAAAAAAAACCAAACCTGCCTAATGACTTCTCTGGGGAAAAAAAACCTAAACGCAGTTTAGCCCAACTGCTGCCAGTGAAGTAAAAGGATCCAGATAGGAAGAAAAGCTGTCTTGAATTGTTTTCCAAAATCCTGTGGAACAGATGTCTAAGAAAGGAACCAGGAAAAAGAAATCCCACCATTCTATCCTTTGCTGTTACACCATCGTTGTGTGGTTTCCATCCCATTGGCCTGCACACTCCCTGACTGTAGATTGACATTAACTAGTATTTTCCCAGTTCCTGCTTTTCAAAGTAAAACAAAGTTCTAAAAGCAGCATTTTTACCTGCTTCCAAACAAAGATCATTTTAGTAAAATCTGTAAATGCTTTTGTGAAACATGATATATAGTTTTATGCCAGAGAAAGGGTTTTAGCTTGCTCTCAAAGGTCCCTCTGATTCTGAAGAAGACCCGATTTCTGCCAAGTTGGATCTGTCTGTTACATACACCAAATGGCCACAGTTTCCACATATCTCAGATGAGATGGTAGGAGTTCAGCAACTCAGAAATTAAAAACTTCACAAACTAAACATTAAAAAAACCCAGAAAAACCCTTATGAAAAACTAGCTCCTCATGTTTGAATCCTGAGGTACGGTAAGACTGAAGAAAGCAACACATAGGCTCAGGCTCTATGCTGATAAGAGCCTGGTATACCAGCAGACATGCACACAAAAATTCTCAGACATTCAAGCATACGTAATTACTCCCACAATGACATAAAAAGGCTACAAGTTATGCCCCAACACAGAATTTTGATACTCTTTGAAGTAGCTTCAAGTCATTTGTGACTGACCATGAAAAAGGCTTTTTGAACTGTGAAACAGTAATTCATCTCAAGCAAATTAAGGAAAGCAATTCACTTCTCTTAGTTCCTCCCATTCAAATTTTAATTTAAGAAAATTTAGCTGTAACTGCTCCCACCACTATCATAAAATGATAACAAAAATAAATAGCGGCCCACAAATTTAAACCCTGTGTAAAGAGCACAAAGCTGATTCAAGGAGCTCTTAAGAATACCTTCTAGGTTCTCTTACTCATTTAAGGGTAGTTAAAGTGGGTCTCTCAACAACTCTTGCTTGTCCACTTCAATCAACGTACTGTCAAGATATTTCCCTCCTTGACTTTGCATCAGCTCTCCCTTCTATGATTTCCTAAATGTGATTGCTCCCAGGAACAATTCTGCAAGCATGGTACAAAACAACTGGGTAAACTAAATCCCTTCTCTCCTATTTTTTTTTTTTTTTAATTATTTCTTGCCTTTCTTTCAGTAAATTGAGGTGCTTCTGAACATCATCTTTTTTCTCACGTTGTTGGCACAAAACAGATCTGGAAAAGAAAATAAAGGCAGAATTTTCATCACAAAGTCTGCAAGCACAGAGAACATCAAGTGAAGTGAACATAGTCAGAACTTCTCTAGCTAAAAATTTCAAACTTCACATAGAAAGTGTTATATTATACCAGACAAAATACACAACACCAGCCTTGTTGCCCAAAAAAGCTCCAAAGCTTTTCCAGTTCAAACAATGCTATGATTTTTACTTTATTCCTTGTGGAAACAAAGAATCACCACCAGGATATTTGGCACTTACAGTATTACTGAATCCATTACAGTTTCCAGAAACTGCCTACTGCTCTCCGAGAGAATCTGCCAAGATTGCATTTTAGCACTGGTTAGCTTCACCTTTTTTGAAGAACCTTTTTCTCCTGTTAACACAAAGGAAACAGCTTTGAGACTCAATTCAGTCAGATCATAGTCAAAGGTCTAACACTTAATATTCTTCCATGTCACAAAACTATCATGTCAAATCTATCCACATCAGGTGGTACTTATAATTTGAAAGTCACAGCTTGTTTAAACAGCACAAAATAGAAAAGGTTCTTTCTTACTGCAGTTTCATTCTAAACAGATACTTTCCCAAAATCATTGACAATACTAGTGAGAAAACCCAGAATGAAATAAAAAAAAAAAAAAAAAAAAAAAAAAAAAAGAGCAGGGATATACATAAGTGAGAAACTCAATGCAGCAGGGGCCTCATCTCATTGCTGTGTTCAATACAACACATGCTAGCCTTAAGACAGAAGGTTAATAGAGAAGGCAATGACCTGTGAAGTCAGTTAAAATGTTCTGGGTGCTTGTGATGGAATTTTACAAGAGAAGAACACTTGCAAACAAAAGCATATGCTTCATACGTGCATATACAATACATACAATACGAATGCACACAGGCTAAGACTGTATCGCAGATACTTGCTGTTACTGTTCAGAAAGAAAACTTTGAAACTTATTTCAGTGATAGCTCAGACATCTATGATTACCACATAGAAGTCACTATTTTTACTTTCAATGTTTTTTCAAAACACTAAATTTGCACAAGACAAACATAAGGAAAGAATACAATCCTACCTGCAGGGGTATAGTCCTCATGTTCCTTAGCTTTCCTTTTGACTGCTTGAGTGACCTGCTGAAAAGGAAAATTTACAGCAAATATGGTAATTTTGAAACATCCTCTGCTGTGCAACCATTCATTTACTACTAGCAACCTGCTATAAAAAGGGTGTGAAAGCCCTTCAGGGCTTACTGTTGCTATTGACCATGAAAAAGCCTTTTTGAACTGTGAAACAGTAATTCATCTCAAGCAAGTTAAAGAAGGCAATTCACTTTTCTTAGGTCCTCCCATTCAAAGAATGCCACCATGAAATAAGAAATGCACAAGATGTTTGGCTATCCAGCTGCATCTTGAGATCATGCTGTTCATAAGTTAAGTGGTTAAGCAAGGTCTCTCCAGCAGAAAGCTGCCTAGGCCAATCCTGAGACACACAGAGAATATTTTCCAGAACTGAATGAACACCACCCGAGCTGAATGAACTCAGATTTTATCACTCTGTTCAAACAGATGTTATGCAGCTCTTCAAAACCGCACAGCCAGCTTGCCTTTTTATTAATCATCAGGCAATGCTTCCCTCTACTTGTCACAGGCATAGTAGCACGCATCTAGAAATTCTGGAAATTAGGGAGCAGCTAAGGCAGTGGGTCTCAGAAGAGCTGTTCACACCAGACATTTCCTCAAGAGGACTACATTTAATTAATGAAATATTGGCTACAAATTCCAGTAAAAAGATAGGAAAACATGCTTTTTTCCTTTGTTTATTTTTCTAATTTGTTTGATCCAAAATAATTATTACCTTTCTTTTTTGACCTTGTTTTCTTCCTTCTCTATCAGTTCCCTTTTTTTTGCTGGAAGGTCCTTGTTGATTTTGTGATTTAAATGGCTTTTTTGCTGATCCCCCACTAGTGGTCTCCCCCATTTTAGTCGAAGGTGCACGATGGCGTTTCATTATCTGTAAAACAAATGGAGCAGGAGGAAACAAAACCAAAATTAAAATCCAGTAGTTATAATTCATACAGGACAAACCACACATTAACAACCAAAATGACAGAAATACCTAGTGCTAAATGAGCCCAAATGTTTGCGTATTTCCTAACCCAAATGGCCTATTTACTTAAGGGCAGGGCAACGAAAAAAAGCATCCCCATTTGCCTTTTAGACAGGTCTTTGCATGTTCCACATCTTTTTCTAAACGTAAAAGCCAGCATGTCTGTATGCCAGAGAGCAGCGATGGCAATGCAAGGTAACTGCACTGAGAACGGTCTAATTTGTTCTTAAAGGCCTCGAACAATAGAAACTCTTTATCTTTCGAATGCAGATTAGTGCAGTCATCCTATTAACAGAACTTTTTACCTCAGCACTTAACCATAAGGTTCCTCACTACAGTGTAAACCTAGTTTCTTTTCTGACTCGCTATAGAGATGGAGGGGGAAAAAAAAAAAAAAAAAAAAAAAGTCATACAGAAGAGAGTAATCATTACACCCCACCAGACTTCTGTTTTCTAAGCACAGACCTCTGTTTTCTAAGCACACCGACTCGGGTGTATTCCGTTTCTCTTTCACCCCCTCCAGCCACTCTTCCCTCACGCAAAGGCCCCACCACGGCTCTTCAGGCGACAGTCGCGACAGACACGAGGTAAACAAGCCCTGCCTCTCCCTTCCCTCCTCCGGTACCTACTGATTTTGTTGGACAG